AAAAACTTATTCAAATTTTATCATTGGACACAAAAATATTTTAAAAAAAAAACTAATTGAGTCTCTTTTTTTTTGTCGGGAAACAAAAAAGTTAAGTACCTTAGTGGTATCGCCCATTAAGGATGTTCGTGAGGTTTAGAATTTTCAAAAACAAAATTATTCGGATTCGGCCCATTAAAGTCATGAGCTTAAGAGATATGAAAATAAGCCCATTAAACTGTATATCTCTCTCGGGTATAACCGAACCCGTTAACCCGGCTCCCTAAATCGGAAAATTACCATTTTTCATGTCATCAATCTCTTTAAAATCAAAATCCCATCCGTTTCCCTCTTTCTGAAATCAGAAACCCTAAATCGCTACTCTCGTCTCTCTTCGCCGTCTCTCGTGCTTGATTTCTCTCCGGCGAATCCCAAAATCGAATAGCTTCTGGGTATTCCCAGTACTTGTTCGGATTCGATCCGTCGCATAAACCCTAGTTTCGTTGTGTTCTAGAAAAGATGGAGTGGAATCCGGAGACTCTACAGTTCCTCTCTCAATGTTTTCTCCACACGCTCTCTCCGGAACCGGAACCACGTCGAGCAGCTGAGAGATCGTTATTGGAAGCCGCCGATCTGCCTAACTACGGTTTAGCCGTTCTCCGTCTGGTGGCTGAGCCTTCAGTCGATGAGCTGTCTCGTCACGCCGCAGCTGTCAACTTTAAGAATCATCTCCGTTCACGGTGGTTACCTTCTGGTGATTCTGGTGTTTCTCCGATCATAGATTCGGAGAAGGAGCAGATCAAGACACTCATCGTTTCGCTTATGCTTTCTTCTTCACCTCGTATCCAGAGCCAGTTGAGTGAAGCCCTAGCCGTCATTGGTAAGCACGATTTCCCTAAATCTTGGCCTGCTTTGCTTCCGGAGCTTATCTCCAGTCTTCAAAAAGCTGCTATGGCCGGAGATTATGTGTCCGTTAATGGTATTCTTGGAACAGCTAATTCGATATTCAAAAAGTTTAGGTATCAGTATAGAACCAATGATCTGTTTACTGATTTGAAGTATTGTCTGGAGAGTTTTGCTCTTCCGTTGCAAGAAATATTCCAGAAAACGGCTTCTTTGATTGATTCTGCTGCGAGCTCTGGTGGGTCAGCTGCGATACTTAAGCCTCTGTTTGAGTCTCAGAAGCTGTGCTGCAGGATATTTTACTCGTTGAATTGTCAGGACTTGCCGGAGTTTTTCGAGGATAATATGAACGTGTGGATGGGAGAGTTTAAGAAGTGTTTAACCTCGAATTACCCCGCCTTAGAAAGCACAGCTGATGGGTTAACACTTGTGGATGATCTCCGTGCTGCTGTTTGCGAGAATATCAATCTGTATATGGAGAAGTACGAAGACGAATTCAAAGGATTTTTGAATGAGTTTGCATCAGTTGTCTGGACATTACTCCGAGATGTGTCGAAGTCACCTAGCAGGGATCAACTAGCTACTACAGCAATCAAGTTTTTGACCACTGTGAGCACAAGTGCGCACCATGCTTTGTTTGCAGGGGACAATGTAATCAAGGAAATTTGCCAAAGTATTGTGATTCCCAATGTTTCTTTGAGGGATGAAGATGAAGAACTTTTCGACATAAACTATATAGAGTTTATCCGCAGAGACATGGAGGGAAGTGATGTGGATACTAGAAGGAGAATAGCTTGTGAGCTACTCAAGGGACTTGCCACAAACTATAAAAGACAAGTTACAGAAGCAGTTTCTCTGGAGATACAGAAGCTCTTGAGTTCATTTTCAACAAACCCGGCTGCACAGTGGAAAGACAAGGATTGTGCAATTTACTTGGTCGTTTCTCTGGCTACTAAGAAGGCAGGGGGTGCGTCTGTGTCTACAGATCTCATTGATGTTCAAAGCTTCTTTGCAAACATTATTCTCCCAGAGTTGCAAAGCCACGATGTCAACAGTTTTCCAATGCTAAAGGCAGGGTCCTTGAAGTTCTTAACAATGTTTCGTAGTCATATCCCGAAGCCCTTTGCAATTCAGTTGTTCCCGTTGCTGGTCCGGTTCCTTCAAGCAAAGTCCCCTGTGGTCCACTCATATGCTGCTATCTGCATAGAGAAGCTCTTGCTAGTGAAGGACGAAGGTGGAAAGAGTAGGTACGTCGCTGGTGATTTAAGTCCGTTTTTGATGCAGTTGATGACGAACCTGTTTGTTGCACTGAAGTTTGAAGACTCTGAGGAGAATCAATATCTTATGAAGTGTGTAATGCGAGTCCTTGGTGTTGCTGAAATCAGTGGTGAGGTTGCTGGACATTGCATCGATAAATTGAAAGATGTTCTCAGTAAAGTCTGCGAAAATCCTAAAAATCCTATATTTAATCACTACATCTTCGAGTCTGTGGCTGTACTTGTTCGACGGGGATGTGAACGCGATATATCTCATATATCTGCATTTGAAGCAAGTCTTTTCCCAAGCCTCCAGGATATTTTGGTCAAAGATATAACAGAGTTCTTGCCTTATGCGCTTCAGTTACTGGCTCAGCTTGTTGAGTTGAACAGACCACCTCTCTCACCGAACTACATGCAGATCTTCTTGCTGCTCCTCTCGCCGGAGGCATGGAAGAGAAGTGGCAATGTTCCAGCTCTTGTGCGTTTGCTTCAGGCTTTCCTGCAGAAAGCACCTCACGAGGTTGCCCAAGAGAATCGATTGACTCAAGTGCTGGGGATATTCGAGAAGCTGGTCTCATCTCCTAGTACAGATGAACAAGGTTTTTATGTCCTTAACACCGTTATTGAGTATCTCGACTACAGTGCCATTGCTCCTTACATGAACGGTATATGGAGTGCATTATTCACACGTCTTCAGAACAAAAAGACGGTCAAGTTCCAGAAGTCGCTAGTAGTTTTCATGTCGCTTTTCTTGGTGAAGCATGGACCTGCTTTTCTAGTGGAAACAATGAACACTGTCCAGCCAAACGTCTTTACTGCAATCTTGGAGCATTTCTGGATTCCGAACCTGAAACTGATCATGGGAGCGATTGAGGTCAAGTTAACTGTAGTGGCTGCAACGAGGCTCATATGCGAGTCTCCAGCACTTCTGGATCCATCAGCTGCTAAGCTCTGGGGTAAGATGGTGGATAGCTTAGTGACACTTGTTTCACGGCCCGAGCAGGAAAGAGTCGTCGATGAGCCTGAAATGCCAGAAATATCCGAGAATGTTGGATACACAGCTGCATTTGTGAGCCTTTACAATGCCGGGAAGAAAGAAGTGGATCCTCTCGTAGACATAAGAGATCCGAAACAGTTCTTGGTTGCTTCATTGGCCAGGCTTTCTTCTACTTCTCCTGGTAGGTACACGCAGATAATTGGCGAGAATCTCGATGCTGCTAATCAAGCAGCTTTGCTCCAGCTCTGCAACGCTTACAACTGCAGAATTGTTTGAAGTGTGAGTGTTCTTCTCTCTTATTGACTTGAAGAATGTTTTCAAACTGCGTAAATTTTGGATTCATGAATCAAATCTTGATGTGTTGCTTGTGAATTGTTTTAGCAGGAGAGATGGATCTGAGGAGAAAGAAGGAAAACACAGCAAA